GACACAAAACTTTGTAAATTAATACAAAGAATATTGCTTTGTTGCAGAGGGATTTGGATAGATTGGGGGACTGGGCACTAAAATGGCAGATGAAATTTAATGTAGAGAAATGCAAAGTTATGCACTTCGGGATCAAGGATGCACAAGCAACTTTCACCCTAAATGGTAGTGAACCAGGGGTAACCACACACGAGAAGGATTTGGGAATTGTTAAAGACAACAAATTAGGCAGCAATATGCAATGTCAATCTGCAGTTCTAAGGCCAGTAAGGTTTTGTCATGTATAAATAGGGGCATAAATTCTTGGGATGAAAAAATAATTTTGCCTCTTTATAAATCACTGGTAAAACCACACCTTGAATATGCTGTGCAATTTTGGGCACCTGTTCTAAAGAAGGATATCATGGCACTAGAAAAAAGTGCAGAGACGAGCTACAAAATTGATAAAAGGAATGGAGCAAAGTTTTTAAATCTCTTGTTTTATCAGAGTCCATACAGATGTTTAACCCCTTAACGCCGTTACGGCGTTCTGTGCCGTCCTGCATTAAAAGGGCTTTAAAGCCGTTGCGGTGGCATAGAACGCCGTAACAGCTTTGTGCCCTAGGAGGTCCGGTGGACTTACCTCCGCCGCGATCCTCTTCTGGAGGGCTGCCTGACAAAAAGAGCGATCACATGGCCCTCTATAGCTGGCTGTGGATCTACCAGCAGGGGGACTGTATGAAATGTCAGACAGTCCCCCTGCTGGTGGGGAAAGTAAAAAAAAAAAATAATTAAACATGTTTTAAAATAAAATAAATTTATTTTTATATATATAATATATGTATATCTATTATATATATATAATAGATATACATACTATATATATGTAACTTCATACAAAGTGTATTTTAATATTAATATAAGTACATATATTAGTATTAAAATACACTTATATATAATAGATATATACACACATATATATATATATATATACGTATAATTACAATAATACATAAATAAAATAATAATAAAATAAATAAATAAAATATTGAAACAAAATTTAATATAAATTATATATGCATATGTAATTTCATTCTAACTGTATTTTGTTATTAATATATATATAAAATATAAAAATATAAAATATAAAATACAAATAACCGCAAATATATATATATAGATAAATACATATAACTACATAAAAGATTACATTAGTATACACGTAGAATTTAAGTACCTATAAATGCATATATATTAAAATTCTACATGTATATTTAAGTAATCTTTTAACATAATTATGTGATTTGATTAATTCAAATTTGATTGACATGCCTGACAACACAGGGAGAAAGTGCAGAGAATTTAATTCGCAAGCACTATATTTGACCCTGTAACTCTCAAAGACACCATAAAACCTGTACATAGGGGGTACTGTTTTACTCGGGAGACGTCGCTGAACTCAAATATTAGTGTTTCAAACTGGTAAATTGTATTACAACGATGATATTTTAAGTAAAAGTGACGTTTTTTGCCTTTTTTTTAGAAACAAACTGCACTTTTATGGACTATATTATTGTTGTAATATGTTTTACTGTTTTAAAACACTAATATTTGTGTTTAGTGAAGTCTCCCGAGAATAACAGTACCCCCCATGTGCAGGTTTTATGGTGTTTTGGAAAGTTAGAGAGTCACATATAAGGCTTGCATTTCATTTTTTTGACATTGAAATTTGCCAGATTGGTTATGTTGCCTTTGAGAGCGTATGGTAGCCCAGGAATGAGAATTACCCCCATGATGGCATACCATTTGCAAAAGTAGGCAACCCAAGGTATTGCAAGTGGAGTATGTCCAGTCTTTCTTAGTAGCCACTTAGTCACTGACACAAAATAATGTGTGCAACAGGAAAAACTAGGAAAACTGAATAAAAGTTATTGAATATTACAGATATAAATGGAAATAATGTGATCTGGTGACATAACACACCTTTGTAGCCAGTCTTAAAATACAATTCCTAGCACTATAGCTCCTTCGAGCTCCCCCGTGCCATGCAGTGTAAGGGTTAATAAACTATACTGTACCAGATTCCAGCTCCGCTCCTACAACATCACCTGACAGGAGGGTTGCTAATGTGCATGCATGGCAAGCACCGCGAGTGCATTAAGCCCTTCCCATTAGGAAAGCATTGCTGGGTTTAGGGAATTGACTGATGTAGGATGTCCTCATGCAGAGAGTGAGGATGTCCAGCGTCAGGTGAGAAAAAGTCACCAAGCCACCAGGAAGTGCCTCTAGTTGCTGTCTGATTGACACAGAGTAGGGGCAGTATTAACCCTGCAAGGTAATTATTGCAGTTTCTCAGAAACTGCAATGTAACGGCACCCCCAAGCATTAAAGGGGTTAAAACCCGTTTAGGAGATATTCCCCTTCCTGATATACAGGCAGCTACCAAAGACACCAATCAGGAAACCATATGAATGCCGTAAACAGCCGAATAGGAAAAACCATACAAATAGGTTTACACTCCTAGCAGTCGAACTGGAACAGCATACAATAAATCGAGACAAGGCTCTGTTTTGAGGGTCAAGCAGGAACAGACAGAGTTGTTGGTTTATTATTCTTATATACACATTCTTACACATTAGTACCACCCACAGGGTTTTGGAACACAACCAATAAACACGTACAATACACTCAGACACTCCCACACAAAATCCTCCCCTCTGCCTGTGATACAATTACCTTACACAATGGGTAATGTAATTATCACAGGCAGAGAAATACAGTTTTTCCACAATAATCATAATTTTAAAAGTATCAGAATCAGCATACTCCAAATACAAACATACGTCAAAATCATACAAATTGGTCCAGTGGTTCAAAAGATAGATCGTAGTCCTTTGTGACCACAGGAAGCATGGTTTTTCTGCCCAAAACCAGTTCCACAGAGTCTTCTATCCTTGAGATAATTGGAAAGTAATCCAATTATCTCCAAGGACAGAGGCAAAACTCCATTGAACACATGGCAGCAAAAGACAATAAAATACATAAAAATATATAACTGTGCAGCCATTGCATAAAACAGGTACATTCAACATATCCCCAGATAACTCAGATCTGAGCGCACATTATTACTGAATGGCACTCAGATCACACACATACAGTTCAATTGCCATGGAGCCAAAGTCTTTCCCATAGTCTTTCATTATCTGAATGGGCTGCATGGCATAGCTATCTGGGGTATCACCGCTCAAACAGGGCAAGCACCGAATGACCCGTCTTTCGTGTCTTTGCAGGGGAAAATCAAGTGTTTCAACATGGGGCCATAGTCTAAAGGCAGCAGGCAGGCAACCAGGCTCCTCCAATGCACAGTGGCGAGATTTGTCTCGTCACATGCAATAATTGCAATTGCAGGGTTAGGGGGGCAGGGTCATGGCACCCAGACCTCTTCACTGAGCTGAGGTGGTCTGGGTGCCTACAGTTTCCCTTTAATGCATAATTTCATCTTCCTAATAGAGTAGAGAATTGAAAGAGGTGTTATGGAAGAGGATGGACGCATGGTATGGAGACGGAGTTAATTTAGAATTGATAATTGGAAAACTATTTTCTATTCATCAGAGCAGACAACCATTGATTACATCATGAATTGATTTTAAAAATCATTCATGATTTTAGTACGCTTCTAATGAATCCTTGCAATGACCATTTTGTTATTTTGTTATTTTTTATCTATTTAACTTAACTCAATAACTAAACCACCATCTAATAATCTGTATGTAGATATGTTGTTTCACATGTTGGGGCCAATCACAGCTTCCCGTTAGGCTATCTAAATGTGATAGGAAACAGGGCAACCAGCCTGCTTCCTAAGTCAGCAATTACTGTTATAAATGGGCATCCTTTCCACAGTCACTCAAACTGTTAAAGGGACACTATATAGTCACCAGAACAACTACAGCTTATTGAATTTGTTCTGGTGAGTAGAATCATTACCTTCAGGCTTTTTGCTGTAAACATGGCCTTTTCAAAGAAAATGCAGTTTTTACATTACAGCATAGTGATAACTTCACTGGCCACTCCTCAGATAGCTGTTAGATATCTTTCCTGGGTCATGGCTGCCTAAAATGCATCCAAACATTCAGTATCTCCTCCCTCTGCATGCAGACACTGAACTTTCCTCGTAGAGATTTATTCATTCACTTAATCTCTATGAGGAGATGCTGATTGGCCAGGGCTGTGTTTGAATCATGGTGGTTCTGCCCCTTTCTCAGTCTCAGCCAATCCTATAGGGAAGCACTGTGATTGGATCAGGCTACCACTTCTGCTGATGTCAGCAGGCAGTGGGCAGGTCTAAAGGAAACAGAGCCAGAGCTAGCAGCTCCAGACTTGAATACAAGTAAGATTTTGCTATTTTTAGGGAGGCATGAGGGGACTAAGGGGGCTAGATGGTGGTTCTAACCCTGTAGGGTCAGGAATACATGTTTGTGTTCCTGACCCTATAGTGCTCCTTTAATCTCAGTTGAAAGATGGCCTCTGATTTGGATACAGTTGTATTTGGAACTTCTTATGTAACCCATTCTTTCTACTGATTTGTTATATTTTCTAATTCTCCACTATGTGGGTGTGCGCTTGCCTGGTACCTGTCTCTTACCCTTCCACTTTTTTCTTAAACACCTTTCTCTCCCATTATATGTATTAAATTGCAGTATTTAATCACTTTTTTCCCCCAAAACTGTTGTGCTATTTGACGTCCGCTTGCTGTAGTAGTTATGGTGCCAGTTGTTTCCCACTGTGTTAAAGGCATTTGTGACGCTTACCTGGGTTTTTCAGGGAATTTACCATCTGCCCCCTCTTCTTAGATATCTCTAAGTTCCTAATTCCACAGGGACTCAGTGTGCAGTAGTGGTTATGGTGTTTACACTTTTACTAAAACACACTTTTTGTTTAGAGTGACACTTATACTGGCATCGTCGACTTCAAAAGAGAAAAAAAATATTAAGAAATAGAAGCATAAACTTGTCTGTGATCCCACACCCAGGCCAAGTGTACCCTGTACCCGCATCCTTCTCTGGTGATGTCCCTCCCCATCATTAAAGGGGGAGGGATGTCCCGCACAATTGGCTAATGGTAATACTTGGGCGACACTATGGCAGGGGTCATTCCGCCATTGGTCGTCTGTCACCCGCATGTCATGCCTGCTAATGACAGACGCCTAGTGTGCACAGAATTAACATTATCCAGTCTGAAACTCTTACTCCGGGCTGTCTCATTACTCTGCTAGAGGTGGAGTTAAACATCTGGCAGTGCTGGGCTGTATCTCATACTGAATGCTGCATATACAGACTCCAAGCACAACAACAACTTAAAATCAATGAAGTGGTTATGGTGCATGGAGCAACACTTTAAAGGGACCATTTCAATATTAAATGGCTGACTCAGTTACTTACTGTAGGGCTGTATAGAGCTGCCAAATAAAAATATTCCATTTTGGCATAGGATATGCAGAAACAAATTGTCAAGGCATCCTAATAGTATTTAGTTCTCAAGGGGTTAATTTTTCTTTATTCTTCTGAGAAATGATTCATGTATTTTAGGATCATCCACACACTTGTTTTATACTTTTCAAAGAGGAGCCATTAAAAATTTTTTACCCTTTTTTATTTTTCTTTTCTTAAAAAAACCTACAAAAAAAATACACTCCATTCTATTCTTGTAACAGAGTTTCTAAACTAGAGTAAGTGATTTTCAGCAGCTTAAGAGTTTGGCAGACATTCCGTCTTAAATATATTTTTTTAATGTATTTATTTCCTAGTGCGCTCTTAAAATAACTTTTATAAACTGGTAACTTCCACTCGCGCCGGTTTCATAATTAATCATGTTCACAACGTCGTACATTTAGGTTACATATTAGTCTATAAGTCTAATCATCCACTTTTCCTGTGGAAATTGGTCAAATCCTGGCTGTTTGAAGTATTTGGATGAATCACATAATTTATTTGAACAGAAATCTCTTTTTTTTGTTCCTAGCGATTTTTATTATTTTTTTAAACGCGTGTGAAGACAGCTTCATAGGAAACAATAATAGTTTAATCTGTTAAAAAATGCCCTTCCTGGATTGTGAGCCCTTTTTTTTAGGTCATTGAAGCAAGCCAAAGGAAATTAACCATAGTTTATGCCAAGAACACGTTGTAACAAGAATCTATTAGCTGAAGGCCCACATCATCTATTAAAACAGATCATAAGAGACTACTTGTCTATCTCTGTTTCCCTCATAAATGCTATTTCCGGCTATTTCCTTTTTATGCCAATCTCAGAAGATGTCCTGCGAGATATTTATTGGCAAAATGTCTTCTCTGGCAGAGGCTTGCTATAAACATTGAAATAAAACATAAACACCTTCTTCTAGATTGGTGTTGCTGGCAAATGGGTGTAATTCTGGTTAATTTGAGTGAATAAATTAGCCTAAATTAAGTTTTAAAAAACAACAATGTCTTAAAGGGACACTCCATGCACCAACACAATTTGTATGCACTTTTGCCTTCAGTAAATATTTGTATTTTTGCATGCCCAATATTATATAACCTTTGAAAAAAAAGTTTTGTTACTTTCTGCACCTGTCTCTTCTATGTCACCACCCCTATTCTAAAATACTTATTTTTTTTTACTGGTTATTGTACTTTCATAACTTACCTTACATCTCCCTCGCTTTCTATCTCTACCTCCTTGTCTTGCCAAGACTGTTGCTCATGTCATCATGAAGAACAGTTATGTTTAATATCAGGAATAGACAAGCTTAGGAACTCCAGATGTCGCAAACTGCATCTCCCCTGGTGCTTTGCCAGCAATGTGGCGGTTAGAACGCCATGGGGGATGTAGTCCACATCTGGAGTTCCAAATGTTGCCTACCTATGCTTCTGATAAACTGAACTACAAGTACCAGAAATCTCTTCTCTGAGCAGGACAGAGGCGGTGCACAGAGAGTTTTGAAATTTGCTCGTCAGCTTCTCCACAATACATGTTATTATTAGGCAGTGTGCCAGATTTTTAGCTATGATTTTTTGCATTTGTTGGCTAGTGATTGTCACATTTCTAAACAACCAGTGTCACTTCTGCACTTGAACTTTGCAATATAGGGTTAAACATTTCCAGCAGTTCAGACTCCATGGACCAGTATGATCAGTTCCTGATGTTTCAAGCTTCATCCTGGAGTGATTAAAGCTGAAAATTGTTTGAATAATGTGTGGTGATTTGCGTAAAATGAAGTTTTAAAGTGAGAATTAATTTTTTCTTAATTTTGAATTGGTAGATTTTGCACATCTTTAAGACAGTATCTGTACCAGTGGCTGTTTTTATATTTTTAACTTTTTGCAGGGACAGACTCCATTTTGTATAATATCTTCCTACTGACTTGTAGGCATTTTAAATGGTAAATGGGGGCAGGAGGTTAACCATCATCACATACAATGCTATATTCACCAAATGCCAATAGTAGGGAAATGTGACAGATATTGCTGTATTCAGCATATTAAAAAATAATTATCTAGCTACATTGCATCCAATATATACTATTATCACTTTGTGAAGCAGCTTGTAAAAGAACTCTTTATGAGAAGTGTAAAACACATAAAATACAAATAAAAGAAACAAATAGTAAAATGCCGTCCTTTCCAAGATAAGTGGACATTGTCTTGATTTACAGTACAAATGCTAACTGTGTCTTCATCCCATTATGGCATCACTAGCTGCAGTAATGAAGTCCTCGTCGTATCTCGTTGAATGGATGGTCTGGATGGAAATGATAATAACATGTGTTAATAGAGAGGATGACCTTAAATTAGGTTTGGTGGTGCTTCTGAAACATTCCATAAATGGCATCATTCCAACATTAAGTCAAAGCCACTTTGTTGTATTAATGAGCCTTTAGCTGTCCTCAGTATAACCTTTTTTTAACCCAAGGATGTGTCATAAGAAGTAAAACGCCTTCTAAGGATAACATTATAAGGAAAATGTTAAGTTTCTCATATGACTTAGTGAGTGATAGGGATAGATAGATCACCTTTAAAGTCCCAAAAAATAGTATTTGTGACAAACTCCCCTTTCCAAGTGAGTTTGCCACGGGTTCCTGCCTACCCTCAGCATGGAGTCTCATCTCATGTGTGGGGAGAACAGCTGTATCTGCTCTGGGGATTGCTATGTCACTATACTCCTCTGGGTTATAATCACTTGCTCTTGTAAGAGCAGCCTGCTACACTCACTGGAGTAGGAGGGGTCTGCCCACTGGAAGCTGGATCCTGGTCTTGGGTCCAGGGTGAGGGAAGGACGGCGAGATCCCAGCCAAGCTGTAACGCTGGAAGTGGGGACTACGGTGCTGATGGTGTCTGGTGGAGTGCTTGGAAGTACTCGGAGGTACTAGGAAGCAGTGATTGGCAGAGGCACCCAGTCAGGGTGCCAGGTGGTTACAGTATTGATATGAAAAATGCTTGAGCCTCTGTTTCAAATGAATATTTAGAAGTGTCTAAATGTCTATGAAGAATTGTTTTACTCACAAAATAATTTGGTAACTTTTTTAGTCGTCTATGAATAATTATTGGCACTGTGTTAGCATGTTACCAAATAAAAATAAAATAAGGAAACATTGTATAAGTGATACCTTAATTGGATCATGGAAGAAGGTTATTGTGCAAGGTTTCACTAAGGTTCCTTCATCAGGGTGGTTTGTTTGGTGCTCAGATTCCTCCTTGGATCAACAACCTGTTTACATACCTAGCAATTATATCCTTGAATATTCTGTTTCTGCAGAAAAGCATCCAAACCTTTTAAAGAAAAATCTGATGAAACAATCTATTGCTATATAGCACATACAAAACACAATGACCCCCATGCTAGTTCTGCATCAAGTTCCCTGGGTAATTCTTAATGAGCTTACATCTCAAAATATGCCACAGACTTGTTGTCTTTCATCCTATTTCTGTGGTCAGTAGAAATAGTACTATTAAGTTGGGTAATAACAGTACCCCACCTGTACCCCAGATCATACTAAGAAACTTGTAGATATACCCTATGATGTAAGTTTGTGATCTGGATGTAACCCATGGAAGGTCAGCATATTGCCAGTTTGTGATCTGGATGTAACCCATGGAAGGTCAGCATATTGCCAGTTTGTGATCTGCATGTAACCCATGGAAGGTCAGCATATTGCCAGTTTGTGATCTGGATGTAACCCATGGAAGGTCAGCATATTGCCAGTTTGTGATCTGGATGTAACCCACGGAAGGTCAGCATATTGCCAGTTTGTGATCTGGATGTAACCCACGGAAGGTCAGCATATTGCCAGTTTGTGATCTGGATGTAACCCATGGAAGGTCAGCATATTGCCAGTTTGTGATCTGGATGTAACCCATGGAAGGTCAGCATATTGCCAGTTTGTGATCTGGATGTAACCCACGGAAGGTCAGCATATTGCCAGTTTGTGATCTGGATGTAACCCATGGAAGGTGTGTATATTACCAGTTTGTGATCTGGATGTAACCCATGGAAGGTCAGCATATTGCCAGTTTGTGATCTGGATGTAACCCATGGAAGGTCAGCATATTGCCAGTTTGTGATCTGGATGTAACCCATGGAAGGTCAGCATATTGCCAGTTTGTGATCTGGATGTAACCCATGGAAGGTCAGCATATTGCCAGTTTGTGATCTGGATGTAACCCATGGAAGGTCAGTATATTGCCAGTTTGTGATCTGGATGTAACCCATGGAAGGTCAGCATATTGCCAGTTTGTGATCTGGATGTAACCCATGGAAGGTCAGCATATTGCCAGTTTGTGATCTGGATGTAACCCACGGAAGGTCAGCATATTGCCAGTTTGGGATCTGGATGTAACCCATAGAAGGTCAGCATATTGCCAGTTTGTGATCTGGATGTAACCCATAGAAGGTCAGCATATTGCCAGTCTGGTAGTTCCTTGGTTTACCACACAGGAAAGGCTTTCAGATCCATCATGTTCCACTTCCATTGTTTGGTAGATAAACCACTCATCTGATCCTGTGGCAGAATTTATCAGTAGATGGCCTGATATATGGTCAGATAAACAGACAGGTGAATAGACAAGCTAATTTGCTTCCAATTACCCCAGTACTTTTTCATTGTCATTCACATTACTTTATTCTTCATATTTATGCTATACATCTGCTTAAAGAAAAGATAATGATATACAGATATACTCATAATGTATACATTACACACAGCATCAGAGCATACATATTACAGAGAATTCTTTGTATTGTCGCCTCTACGTAACATAGTACATACCTGTCTTATGCTGTTGGCTTGGTGTATTTTGCCATTAATTGCACTTAGTGACAAGGGTCCCCTTGGTTATTTTAAAAATCACAAGGTTGAATCCTTGTTACTGAAGGCAAAAAAGCAGAATGTGAAAAATGATGAATGGGATTCATGCCGAATTGTTCCCGAACAAATATAAAATCAAAGCTCATAAGTAGGTATTTGTCCCCGCTACTTTTAAGTTGAAGTTGGTTCTTGTGTGTGAAGGATATGTATAATTCAAACTTTTAGACTTAGCATTAAAACATGTGCAAAATCACAATTTACAAATGCAATACGAATAGCTAAACATTGTTATAATTTATAGATTATAAATATATTCTTATAAGTTAGCTTTATTTTCTCATCAAGCGACACAGACATTACTACACTATTCAAACAAACACTTACTATGAAGACATGCACAGCATTCACACACATACACAGACATGCACAACCACATTACTATAAACTACTACACAAAGCAAAACATATTCAAACATGCACCATGCTCATATAATACATATATATGCGCCACGACGTGTACTCGCATTGCCACGCACATGAACACATCACACAAACACACATCAACACACAAATATCCACTGGCATGCACTAATAGACCACCATGTAGATATATACTGCCATACAAGCCCATTGAACTATGCATATGAACACTGCTAAAAAAAGGGGGATAACAAACATGACCCATTCTATTATGCAAACATGCAACTCATACCATACTCATTATAGAACCATGTCAGGTCCTGGCATGTACGTTTATAGTCATGCACTGACACATTGTCTCATAAAAAAAAACTACAATCATATATATTTCCATAGATTATGAAGACCACCACCCTAATTCACATGAGTTGACATATGAGCAAACATATAATATACCCTCAGAAAATGTGCATTTTTTTACTCAGTTATTTGGACACAAGGAAACCAGTTATTTTCAAACAAAAACAATTTAAGCCATCTTGAACCGATCTGAGCACCATTTTGATCCTGATTGGCTTAGTGTGCCCACTTTCACCTAATCAAGATATCAATTTAACATTCAACTAAATTAAACCTTTAAATCATAGCATGAATACTATTATTGCTACATGGAACCAGAATTTTGCCTTATTCATATAAATAGAATTTGGATAAACTTCCCTTATATACATTTTAGTGGTAAAAATCTATTATTGGTCAGTATAATGTGTGTCGAGAGCTAAAGGTATGTGTAGGAGTGAGAAAAAAATAGATCTAGGAAGAGATGTAAGTTCTTTCAATAGAGCATGAGAATTGTGTTTTCAAGTATTTTAGATGTTTCATATGACAGCGAATGACATTTTCGAAATTAACTTATCTACCTAATATGTGCTGCTGTGATGATGTGAAGTAGTGAATGGAGGTGGCCCCTAAACTGAGACAAATTCCGACAAACAGAATTGATTTTGCTTAGCATTGTAAGTACATTTTCAAGTTTACCAGGTGAAATAATAAATAACTTATTCATATAGATCCTAAATTGCGTTGTCTGGTGTTGTGCCTTTCCTAGTTTAAACTACAAATGTACCCCGTGGATCATGCCTTTTCATGCTCTGTCAACTGCCCCTTTCCACGTTCTTTGTTATTTTTTTTGCTTAGTCTCCTTTGTTGATTTAATTAAAGCATTGTTTTGTTATAATATTTTACCTTAGTGTAGCCAATGTAATCAATTACAGTTATTCACCAAAATGAGAAATTTAAGTGAATTCAGAGTAAATTTCAAATTTAAGGCCACAGTAGCTGAAATTAAAGCACAGCTGAATACGATAAATTTTGCTGGTTTGGCTATATTTGAAATTAGAGTATTTTTATTGTGCTAATGTAATCTAGTTGTTATGTAAATGTGTTAAGAAAAAACAAGTTTTCTTGTCACATTAAACTGAATTGCAAATTTAAGGCCACAATAGCTGGTCAGAGAATTCACTTAGTCAGACATATTCTCATTTTGGCTTATTTTGGTCTAAAATTTCAAATCCACATTGGATTGTAGAAAATATAAACTCTAGAGCAGGCATAGGCAACCTTCGCACTCCAGATGTTTTGGACTCCACCTCCCATGATGCTTTGCCAGCAATTATGGTTGTAAGAGCCTTATGGGGGATGTAGTCCACAACATCTGGAGTGCCGAAGGTTGCCTACCCCTGCTCTAGAGAATAACCGTCACGAGAATGTCCCATTGCTCACAACAAATTTCTCTTTACTCACAACAAAACCAATATAAAAGGACTAATATTTGTGTACATATAAATCCAGTACAAAAGGAACAAAACGAATGAACAAAGCTATACTCTTTCATGTAATAAAATTGCCGTTTCAAGTGTGATTAAAGTTTGACATTTTGAAGAAAACCAGTTTTCTATCATACTGACAATCCCTCCATTAAAGCATAGAATATGTTAATTGCAAACTTAACTCCAAAATGGGGCTTTTAATTCCCCAAAAAGTGTCTATTCAATGTCTAATTTCCAGTGGATTAATTAAATTAATTTATTTCCTGTAACAAAAAATTGTCCACTATCCCTTACGCTAGCGAGACCACCGTTTTACCTTGACGATACTCGATGGGTTGTGTTCTCTGAGGCACGTAATGCACATTCTATGTGGACGAATAATCTTGGGAGCATTTAGTGAATTTCCTTATCAAGTAAACCTTAACTTTGCCTCTGAAGCTGTTTTATCTGAAATACTGACCAATAATGCAAGCATTTGCTGCTATAGAGAAAAAAAAAAATCTTGGGAAAAACTTGATTTCACCTCAGCTGTTAACAAGTTGTGACCTTTGCTCACATGTGTTTGGGGGAAATTAGCTTATAGCACCAATTAACATCAATTATTAACTTCCAGATTAATAATTTATTAAATGGCCAAATGCATCAGCCACTGAAAGATAACGTTGCAAGCTGAAAATGTACAAAACAAGGCAAAACTAATTGTACAGTTAGTTTTAATGGTTATACTTGGAATTTCTTGGTTGATTTCTGCGGATCTAAATGCTTTCTCTTTCCTTTTTAAAACCGCAGGCGCTGTGAAAATTGAAATGGTTAAATGGAATAAGTGGTATAATTTATGAAAGGATTTGGTTTGTTATTCCAAAGAGCAGGGCTCGAATGGACCTTGGGAAATACACAGGATGAGTGAGATTTTAACACCTTCATTTGTGCATTTTTTTACCAACAGTGCAAAAATGTTGCCTTGCACAGCAGGATTTAGCAGTGGTCAACCAGAAAGATCTGATAACATCTTGGGGGAATCACAAAACCTAACAAACATAATGTAGAATCGTTTCTTCCCCATAGAGGAATGTGTGCACTAACATTAAATGGAAATTAAGATTCATCTTGGTATGTTTGCAATATCCATGGAGATGTACTGCTAGGATCTTTATGTTATACATAGAGTATGTGGCATGATAGCATACGAATGTTTATTACATAGCAGCAATCAATGAGCCAGGTACAATTAATCTGTTACATAATTCCTCTCTTACCTGGAGACCAAACTAGCAACTGTGAATTGCTATTTCGTTTTACTTACTTACTTTACTTACTAATTGCTAATGTTTTAACTGAGGATGTAATACATATTTGGAGGAATAACCTTGATTATAAAACAGAAATTTCAAGCATCTTGGCTTGCTCTCCACCAGTCTTTCACATTGCAGTTGGGTGACTTCATGCCACTGATGGCACAAACAATTCAAGCAGCTTGGCTTTGTTTGACGGCTTTGTGAACATCCACCTTCCTCTAGATCACCTTTTAGAGGTTTTCGATGGGGTTCAGGTCTGGAGATTGGGCTGGCCATGACAGGGTCTTGATCTGGTGGCCCTCAAAACACTTTTTTGATTGACCTGGCTGTGTGTCATGGAGCATTGTATTACAGGAAAAATACAATCCTTAGAGTTGAGGAACATTGTAAGCAAGTTTTCTTCCAAGATTACCTTGTACATGGCTTGAAATATGCATCCTTTACAAAGATGAATCAGCTTGACGAAGCACCCCCAGGTCATCACCAAATGTTACAGTTGGTGCTAGAAACAGTGGTTTGTAGGCCTCTGCAGGTCTCCGTCTAACCTTTTGATGATCATGTGAACTCATCAAAGTAGATTACCTTATTCCAGTGTTCTATGGTCCAATCTTTATAGTCTTTTGAAAATTTTGCCTGGTTTGTCTATTTCTCATTGATGAAGTCCTTTTTTTCTAGCTGTGCATGACTTCAGCCCTATCCCTAGCAGCCTGTTTTGAACCGTCCTCTTCATGCACTGCACCCCAGCTTCCATTTTCCATTCTATTTGTAAGTCACTTGATGACCACCTATGGTTGTTGAGCGACACTCAAATAAGTTGACTGTCAACCCAGTCAGTGGATAGTCATGTTTGCCCTGTGCTTGTCTGTAGCTTTGTTGTCCCAATGTCTGGTGCTTGACCTTGTTCTTATAAACTGCTGTCTTTTAAATTTTAGAGAGAGAATTAACTCCTCGGTTCTGTTCAGGTCTGAGTCCAGATAGCCTTTAACTGTGGCCTGCAATGATAGGCCTGCAATAACGCTAAGGAATGAGGTGATGGTTATTCAAGTAAAGCAAACATTTGGGTAAGTATCAATAAAAGAGGTAGGGGAGAGGGCAGAAATCACAGAAGTCATAAGATATATGCATATAGATGAATAAAACAATTAACAAACAAATATATTGAGCAGGCCTGGTAAAACTAACTTTAGTATACAGGACAAGACATAAAGGCGAGAAAATATAAATTATGCCCAAAATCCACAAAGTATGGCTAATACAGGTTGCAGTTACAGTTGCAGTAATGGAGAGAAAAAAAATAGGGTTTGTTACATAATGAAATGAGATTATACAGGATAACGTTTTGATATGGTCCTCAAGAAGGCTACATTTTGCTTAGGGCAGTGGGTCAGCTGTTGGAGCTCTGAGATCTATGTAGTTCTGAGGATGGATAACTTTTAACTCAGGCTTGTTTTGCTTAGGGCAAAATGAATTGGTATAGCTAAAAGGAAGTGTGTAATCTCTGACTTAGCCATGCCTACAGTAGGGGCTGGTCTGGGGTG